ATTTCCTATGGATCACCTTTTGATTCATCCTTTTGGAATGTTGCAAGAGGAAGCTCATAAGAAGCCAATCTCTCTTTGGATGTGAAAGTAAGAATGGAAAGCAGTTAGATCTTCAAGTTTTTGGCTACAAAAGCTCTCAAATCTCAAAGCTAAGGATTTCATCTCAATCTCATGATTTATCTCTTTTTCATGTTTTTGGTTAAATCACAAACCCATAGTTGCACTTAGTAAACCTAGCTCAAAACCTAGCTATCTTGAGCCTAGTGAGCCACCTAAATTGTCCTAGGAATGTCTTGCACATGCATGGATCACAGCACAACACATCTAGGATTGAAACCCAAGATCACCCATGAAAGACTATGAACATAGGTTATGTCGACCGTGTGGCGGAGAGTCCGTCAGAATCGACGGAGGGTTCGCCAGTCCTAGGGAGTTACCCAACAGAGTCTTATCCTCTGTCGATATGAGTCAGTGGAGAGTCCGCGGTATCACGCGGAGCATTCGCCAATTTATAAAGTTGGTAGCCTGAGTACATGAGAACACCTAGTTTCTAGCGGAGAGTGCATGACCTCTCACGGAGGGTCCACTGAATTATAAAACCAGTCAACCAGAAACCCGAGACCTCCTAGTCTTCACCCAAGCGTCCGACACATGTCTCAGACCGTCCAATGGAGGATGCAAACCTAGAAATGCCTAAGTCCTAAACCATCAGAATGTTCTTTGGAACGTCCGCCAGGTAACGCAGCGTCCGTCACCTTCAATGGAGAGTCCGTCAGCCCCAACCAAGTCAAACCAGAACTAAGTAACCTCGAAGCCCAAATCTGCCATAGATAGTGGAGGGTCCATTAGTTAATAGAAGGTGTGAGATTGTTGAGGAAGCTTACCCAAGTGGTCAACAATACTAGATCGAACCTAGATATAAATAGTGCAATAGTAGAGCCATGTTGACATCTCTTCCCAAGTTCCAAATCAAGTCTCAATCTCTATCGTTGTCTCTATCGATTATCTCCAATCTCGATCCCCGTTTCTTTCAGGAACTCGCTTAGTGTGAGGATGTGTATAAGTCATCATCGTCAGCTTCAGATTCATTTGTACATCATAACCAGTCAGGCACCACACTATTATAAGACCTATTTTGGATACTTACTTGTTTCATTGTGAATATGCATTTCATGCTAGAAGTGTTAATAAGCTAAATAATATTGCTTCATTAATTTAGAACTACTCAGTAATTAATTAGAGCCTCCCATCTAACGAATTGGGATGGGAATGTTTAATTGCTTAATTGCTTAGTTCCGGTAGAAGTCGAGTTTGAGAAGAGAACTCACACTCGCGCGTGTAGGATGCTACACCAGGTCTAATTAATTACTAAAACTTGAAGAGGGTTACAACTTATCTACTTCCCTAATCATGACCGAGGACCAACCCCAATTTGAAATTTGAACTTGATGATCAATTTGGTAATTCTTGCTCATGCGAGGGGTAGATCACTGTGAGTGTGGATCTCAAGTGATGTAGCTCGTGGAGCAATTAAGGACCGTGCATTGGGATACGTGAGTCCGGGTAACCATCCATATAGAACACATGTCGCATATGGGGGCGACAAGCCGAGTAACTAATTGCGACCGGTCTATCCGTGAAGCTGGCAAGAAGGTGGCGCCGGTTAGATGGTGGTAGCATTAACCGGGAACCAATCAAACCTTTCGTCAGACATTCTGGACAGGTTCGGGAAAGGTTGGAGACGTGAGGCAGCCCTTACCCTCACGCACGGGTATGATGGTTAGTCCCGTTCTTCCATGTGGATACAGTTGTGCACCTCTGCAGAGTTATTTGAAAGCCTAAAGTCCCTCGGAACGGAATCTTATCGGTTGTTCTTACTTTCTATACCCATGGTAGAGCTAACCATGAATGGAAATCATGACATGGATTAATGTGTTGATCATTTTCATATGTGTTATCTACTACTACTTATAATCATGTTAGAACTAGATTAATAATGAATCATGAGCATGTCATCTTAATAAATGCCATAGCTTTTCTGCAAATGTACAAATGCCTAATAATATCCTTGTATCCACGAAATATCTATATGTTGGAATTAAGTCCTGCGAGTACGCAATGTACTCACGGTGCTGCTGCTAAGTTGTTTTGCAGGTAATCTCGATTAGGTTGTCCTGAGCCGAGGCTCACTCCACCGATGAATAGTAGACCTTGGAATGGGTGTTTCCAAGATGAGTTGCATGTGAACTCCAATAAGATTTTGAATGAATTTCGAGGAGTTGAAACGTAGAGGGAGAATTATATAATTTTGTATATTAATGCTTCGTTATCAATGGTTTACTTTAAGCAAATTAAGTCCTATGGTGCAAGGTTGGCGTGTTATATGTTGGTTTGCCATTTGGGGTGTTTTGTGTCCCTCGACCGTTACAAAGATTCTGAAGAGGAGATGCGGATGGCATTCTCTTGGGGAGCCTCATGTCAGTCGAGAACGGCTCAGGTCGGTCAAGAGGATGATGCATGTGTTGGTCTGGCGGGCGCGGGAACACTCCCCCCGACAGCCGCCACCCCTGAGCATAGCTCGACCGGGCAGATCCGTGGTCGCGGTGATGGCAGGCCCGTGGTGCGACCGTCGTAGCCGTCGCTCGCGAGGGAGGGGGCTGGATCCTATGCAGGCACATGCGCCGCTACCGGCGTTGGGGACTCGACCTCATCTCCATCCATGAAGGCCGACACGCTGCCAACAGCTGTAGATGTCCTCGTCCACCCACCTCCTCCCAGCTCGTTAGCCTCGTCAAACGAGAAGACCTCTGGATCTAGTGCGGGCGGACCACACACGGGCAGATCCACGGCAACAATGACCCGTCCCAACTCTTCCTCCCTCTCACCGGCCACAGCACCATTCTACCCAGGCTACTCCTCGGGTGGGCGCACAAAGCGCCGTTGGTGGGCGGACGACAACGGCGACAAGTCCGACAGCGGCCACCCCACAACACCTAGATGTCGTTCGTCGCCCAGCGAAACCGGTACATGTGTCCCTGCCACGTGCCCAGACTCGTTCAGTCATGATTTTGGACCGTGGCGGAGTGGACATTGGGCGGTAGGGACATGGGTGGAGGCGGACGAAGTTGGTGTGTGGCCTGCCTGCTTGGGCAATGGAAGGTCGCGTCCCTGCCCGCCAACGCCTTGGCCACTACGAACGGGTCTCCGCCCCATCGCCGACGGGTGGCGGGGGATCCATCCTCGGTAGGAGATGCAACCCGTGGCCGCCTCGGTTGAGCATCGCCGAAAACAGCTCTCACAGGCCTGGAGGATCCCTGCAGAGCATCACGTCAGATGTTTCAACTGTCTCTCCTACTCACACCGAGTAGAGACTTGCCAATTGCCACGGTGTTGCCTGCGCTGTCACGGCTTTCGCCACCACACTAGGGATTGCAAGCCGCCCAAGTCCGCTGAGGCGACAAAGGCAAAGGGAGGCGACCTTCCATGGCACTCTTCTTGTGGTGACTGCCCACTGGACTCCTAGCACGCGCCCACAGCGGTCCACCGAGCTTGGAGAGGGTCGTGTAGGGTATCGCAGGGGGCGCCGGCGGAATCCAATGACAACGTTGGTGGCGCCGAAGCAAACCGGCAAGGGACATCAGCATGGGCGCACCCGCTGACAATGCCACTACCTATGCTGTTGCACACTGCTTCCCCGATCCACTAGTGTGGGAGCTGTGCGCAAGCGCGGGGCCTCCCGTGTGGGTTGAGCCAATGCTGGAGGAGCTCGTTGCCTCGCTCGTCATGAGCCGACCAGCAGGAGCACCATCGCTTGCTCCGATGGTCGCCTCTCAGGATGTGGAAGCATCGCTGGTGGACACCCCTTTTCCGACGAAGGTTGCCAAGCGGACGACGGACTCGCCTCCGTTGTCGCTTGTGCTAGAGCATCCACAAGTCACGCCGCCATGGGGGACAGCCTATGGATGCCGAGGGGCACTCTAGCGCCATCCCCCTTGGAGCGGATGCGGCCACCCCTCCCTGGCCCTTGAGCCCGGCACTGGTCAGGGCAACTACCTCGGGAGACGTGACAACCGTGGTTGAGACGGACACCGTCAACTGCACTCCTTCACCTCAGACGACCTCGGACGACAGGCGCCTCAAGCGCTTCACCGAGCGAATCACAAAGGCAAGGTAGCCACCACTTTTGGAGCTGCCCAGAGTTGAGACGGCCCTCGGCGGACATGCAGCACCCTCGCTCCCCAAGTGAAGCAGGCAGATAGTGGCACAGAGCATAGCTCATATCCCAGAAGCCAAGCGAGATGAGTACCTTATCATGAAACGCCTAGGACTTTCCAGCGGGAGGCCGTCTCCGCCGAAGTCGGCCAAGAAGGTGTACGAAGAAATATTCAATGGGGACCCGCTCATATGCAGGCGTCGTGTGAGTTGTTCCCACTGGATGGCGACATACGCACGCAAGCAGTGCCTCCGCTCGACAGCCCGGGCGTAGGCCTCCTTGCCAGCGCTGCAAATTTAGGTTGATCATTGTCTAATGTAATAGCCTAACTTACAGTACACTAGAGAGGGTCTGAACTTCCATGTAAATCTTTATTGACTCTCTAGGGTGCCGCTAAGGCGTGTTGTATCGAACTTTTTCTCTATCCTAATATAAAGACGCGCAAATCTTTTACGTGATGGAGAGAAAAAATGGTCTGGCACCAGTACGACCACACAAGTATACACGATGATTCTGTGGACGCTAACACCTCTGCCCCAAAGAATGCTAAGGGTAATGTTTGGGGGCATCATCAGATTGTACATCAAAATTTAGAGATTGCCTCATGAATTCTAGTTGAAGGGCAGGCCTAGTGCAGTAGTGAGAGCTGTCTCACTAAGTTAACAGGTCGTGGGTTCGAAGCATTCTCTCTGTAGATTTACGGGGGGGGGCCTCGGTTTTTTCCTTCCCTGCACTCATGTAGTAGGAGCCTCCGCACTGGGTCTACCCTTGCCCTCATGAATTCTGATTAAAGCAAGTTTAGACGTTCTTTTCTCTCATCCTTACAGCTAATGTGACCAAAACTATGATTGTGGTGATCCCTAGACCAAGGAGACCACCATCCAAGACCACCATCCGGAGAGCAAATCCCGCCGCTCCAGATTATGCTGATCCAGCCCTCCTGAAAGAGATAAGGCAAAGCACATGAGGATTGCTAATAGCAGAAGTACAATTCTTCATTTCACAGTTCCACCGCATACGAGAATGGTTCATCTTATATCCTATCGTGTTTTTCCTCCCTGGCATGTGAGCATGCATCAAATACTAGAATATGCAATGTTAATGTTATGTCAAAAAATTGGAAAACTAACATCACTGAGGTTCTGAATTCTTGCAGGAAAACCTTGTCAAACTAAAATGAACCGCATAACAAAGTACTGGAGTAGTTCTCTTTTGAGTTTGAGCAAACCTTTTGTTCTCCCAACTGCCTGTGCTGCCCCACCATGGATTGCTGAGCTTTTAACATCAGAAGATGTTCCTGGGTAAAAATTTTCTTAGCATGATCATAAAGTTCCATGTCAAGGCTGTTCAACGAGATGATTTGTTTCAAAATTGCCTCAGGTACCAGCTTCCGTGCCTGCAAACAGAACTTCCTATGTCATTGCTGAAACATTCTAATATGAAAGGACTCAAACATATAATATAAGATAGAAACAAGCAGAAATTTCCACCTATTATTTGAGTGTTCCATTAAGACAAAAAGATAAGCACATGAATGATTGTGAAGTTTTGAGCACATCAGCCTTAGCATTTGTATCTCTATTTTTTTTTAATTGGCCTCAGTGTGTGCTTGCTATTTATAGAGAGGAAGAAATCAGGTATCCACATAAGCTAGAAACTCAAGCAGAAACTTCCAATTATCTTTGGTGTTTTGTGTTATGATGACAAAAAGATAAGCACAAGAATGATTGTGAAGTTTTGGGCACATTAGCCTTAGCATTTGTATCCCTATTTCCTTTTTCTTAGCCTCATTTTGTGCTCGATATTTACAGAGACAAAGGAATCAGGTATCCACATATGGTGCAAATTTTTATAATCGTAAAATAGAAAATGAATCAAGAGCAATCTTCAATGTGCATAAACTTCATTGCCCTTTAATTTGGTCGTTACCTCTTTTGGAAACCTTGCTTCCACTTTCTTTAGTGATATTCTACGACGGCTAGATTCAACCTTCCGCAGTTCAGCAATGCAAGTTTCATAAGCTTCCATCAGTTTACCAATAGTCATCTGGCATCAGGAATAAATTAACATTGTGATCACAGGATAATAACAGGAAACTCTACACAAGGTTCGCAAAAAAAAAAAAGGAATGAAAACTCTACACAAATAATTGAGCCCTTCAAGTAGTGTATTACATTTCCTTTTCCATGTTCGTCGCTGGTAGAGTTCAGGGCTTCATTATTTTGCCAACCATGTGCGTTATTCTATCACGAGAACATAAATATGAGATGGAGTGTACAGATTCCACCATCTAATCCGCAAAACTAAACAGCTCAATTAAAAGGTTTAACCACCCTCATACCAGATGTTCATTTGTTTCTTCATCCTCGTGCTTCACCATGGATGGGTGTGAGTCTGTGAACAGTAGAGATTAGGTCCTCATTTATCATATCTGTGTTGTCAAAACTGTATCAAAAGAATATGGGGAACCATACACCAAGAATGAACATAATATTTCTTTGTGTAATTATTTCTTCAAGTCACTTTTTTTTCCATACACCGAGAACCTAATGTTAAGTTATTTCTTCAAGTCACCTTTTTCATATATACTTGCCCTAATGATTTTAGTGTGCAGCAAATCATGAACAAAACCATAGGTTGCTACTTGAACTGCTACACCAGGCACGATAAGAGTGCTGCTTATGCATTTAGTGGTTGGTGAGCAGCTTCGTTACACTAGTTTGAACTTTGCTGAATGTTATGCCGGTTGAAACTCACATTCATTTTGATTAGGGATGCACATACCATGCCTCTGTATTGATGTATGAATCTATACTTGGGTTTCAACAACTGAAGCGATGCATTGCTAATTTGTTAGCGAATTTATCATCAAAACCTAGCAGTACTATCTTTCAGTTTCAATAAAAGATAAAGTTGAGCTGTTGCCCATTGGTTTATAAAATAATGGTGCTACTGAAGACACAATTATAAGTTAGGGCCACCAGATTGCAATGTGTAATACCAGTCTCACTGGGCAGATCTTCCTTGAGATCTAAATCCAATGTCCCAGATTGTGAAAGCACCTGTGCTCCTACCATATGAGCAAACAAACTCGCTGATTCTTCATGAACCTCCGTAAGTCCTACATATAGCATCTGGTCCAGCCTATTCTGTAATAAAAAAAATGATGACGTTACTTTTTTGGAGGGAAGTATATAAAAAATTCCAGACCCTTTGTATAGTGAATGAATATATTTGCTTTAGTGAATGTTATTGTCATAATGCATTACCTATACTATTTAAGTTCCTTCTGCATGACAGTATAGTCAACACAGTGGTGTTTTACTGTTTCACATGCTGCAGGATATATAATTAATAAATAATGTATCATATGCTTTGGCCATTGGGATGCGCACCGAAAACCGTCTTTCACGACATTCATCTTTGGTATATACTTAGCAACTTCAAGCACAATACGACCAAGATCTGGATGCTTTCTGACACAATGTCGAACATCGTGTGCTCCATCAAAGTATGAATTGTTCGTTAACCCAGTAATCTGCCAAGGTAACATGAGTACACATAAACAAATTAGAAAACCAGATCACAAAAGCTGGCTGGGAAATCATCTGCATGCAGATGTTTACTACATACAGTTCTGTTCTGCTTGTGCAAAAAGATATAAGTATATAACAGTACTAGAAGTATACCCCGCGCGTTGCTGCGGGAACTACGCTTGAGATTGAAATATTAAACTATTCATACAATTCTTATGAAGGGGTTAACTATTATATAGTGAATAGCGTGGCAATGCTGATGTTGACAGCTAAATGTATGTTAGTGGATGATGTGTCTCACTGACGTGGATATCATAATTGTTCGTGCTAGTGAACTTTAATTGCAAGTGATAGTGGACTACTGAGGTGGACATCTTGCATGTCTAGATAACATTCTAGTGGGTTTAGTTGCAAGTGATAGTGGACTGCTGAGGTGGACATCTTGCATGTCACGATAACTATTAGACATGTATAGTCTTGTATACATTGTATTTGGACATGTTGTACTCCAAGCTCCATTGGGCTATATATATATATATATATATATATATATATATAAAAGGTCACCCCCTAAGAGAGTGTGTCGTGTTTCCCTATCTCTCTACATGGTATCAGCCAATTAAATCTTAATCTTCCGCCCCCTCCCTTCTCTTTCCCGATCCGCCCCCTCCTCTTTCCCGACCGCGACTCTCGCACTCGGTCACGCAGCACGCGCGCGAGACGTCCTCGTGCCCGTCCCACCTCCCCGAGGGCTTCCTCCCTCCCCGGCGATGGTTACTGATCCCTCCCTTAGCACCAGCACCATGCCAGCCTCCGCCACCGAACCATCCCGGCCACTGGCAACGGCACCATGGGTGCCGACGGCGCCGGTCTTGCAGCACCCCCGCCGCCGATCGTGGCTCATCCCTACGCCACGGTCTCCGTCAAATCCCACGTCCCCTTCACGTTGTAGCTGAACTCCAACAACTCGAAGTGGGCGTTCTTCTTCAAGTCGTTGTGCGGTAAATTTGGGCTTCGCTCGCACATCGACGGCTCCGCTCTTCCTCAGCTTGATGACCCCTAGTGGGACGCCGCGGAGTGCTGCGTTCGTGGCTGGATCCTCGGCTCCGTCGATGACTCCGTCCTCGATCTCGCCATGGATGAGCCCGACCCGACCGCCCGCGACCTCTGAGTGGCCATCGAGGGGATCTTCCACGACAACAAGGAGCCGCGCACCATCTTCCTCCTCAATGAGTTCCACTCCATGGTGCAGGGCGACTCCATCATCTCGGCATACTGCCAGTGCCCGAAGACCAAGGCCGCCGCCCTCCGCGACGTCGGCCATCCCGTGCAGGACTCGCAGCTCATCCTCGCCCTCCTGCGCAGCCTCAACCCTCGCTTCTCTAACACCGCCGACGACATCGCCAATTCCGCTTTACTTCCCACGTTCGTCAGAGCCCATGACATGTTGGCTCTCAAGGAGCTCCGCTTGGCCAACGACAAAAACACCATCGTCAACACCGCCCTCCTCGCTACGGCCGGCTTTGGCTGCACCAGCCCGGGCGGGTGCCGCTCCATCACCACCGTGGCTACCTCTGGCGGCTCCACGAACACCAACGGCGGCGGCAACTACGGCGGCAACAAGGGCGGCGGTGGCGGCAAAGGCAAGAGCAAGGGAAAGCGGGCTGGCAGCCGCGCGGTGGCGCTGCAGGTGGCGCTACTGGTGCCCCCAGCAGGCCGGTCAGTACCAGCCCATGGGTCCCTAGTTCTGCTACAACCCATGGGCACCCCAAGGCCCACCCCCGGCTCAGCAGGGACCCGACATCTGGCGTGCCGGCATCCTCGGCCACTACACCACAACACCGCATCACCGTCAGACATCTGACACTAAAAATTATATTTATCGATGGATGATCAGTCGCTAAAGATAACTTAAAGACTATCTATCGCTAATTCCATATTTACCAATTCATGATTTGTTGCTTGTCTGTCGCTAAAGGCACTTATGTCGTCATACGGTCCGTCGATAAAAACTAGTCCCACCTAAGCCTAGCTCGGACGTGAATTTTAGCCCGGCCCATGAGTATGGAGGGGAACCCTAGACCGTGTTTTGTACCCTAAATCCCGCTCTCTTCTCCCTCCTGATTCTCTCCCCAAACAATCGCCACTCCAATCCTAGCTCCAGCCCTGCGCGACCCACCTCGCCCCGGTCGCGACTTCATGAGTCGCCGAGTTGGAGGAGCCGCCCCGTCGCAGGCGCCGACTCCCCGTGACCCCGCCTCCATCGCTTAGACCCTCTAGCCTCCGACCTCCCGCCTGGCTGCCTTCGCCCTCCGGCAGTTCGGCGTGGCGGCGCCTCCTCGAGCCGGCGAGCCGAGCGAGAACCCCGACTCCTCGGCGGGCAGCGGCCACAGCCAAGGCTAGGGACGGCCTGGCCCTCCTCTCACCGACCGTGACGCAGCGCCTAGCGCTCAGCTGGCAGCTGCCCCAGCCGACCAGCTCCACCCCTGCTGCCTACAGCCAACAGATCTCTGCCACTTGCGACCTCCCTGCCTACCCCTTGTGGCTTCTGCGGTTCTGCCTGCTGGGCACCAATGCCAAGAACTGCAGCCGCGTTGAGCCCACCGTGAACGAGGAAGTGTTCCCTAAACGCCAATTGCAGCAATGGCGCCGCTCTGTTCCGACTGTTCTTCCATGACTGCTGGATCTATGTAAGTAAACATTGCTAATGCAAGATGGACATATATTACTTGCTTGCTATAAGTATTCAGGGCAACATATGATCTGTCGGTAAAAGTGTTGTCTGTCGCTAAAGGTTTTTAGCGACAACACTTACACCACCTAGACAAGTCTGTCGCTATAACTTTTTAGAGACAGATTGTCTATCGTTGTATCAACTTTTAGCGTCAGATCGTCCATCGCCAATCTTGGTGTTGTGGTGTAGCCGGCGCGCCACCTCAGGCTCACATGGCCTTCTCGCCCGTGTAGCCTCCCACGACCTTCGCGCCGCTCTAGGTCTCCTGGCCGGCTCCTATGTGGAACCAGGCTGGCCTCGTCGCCGCGCTCAACCAGCTCAACCTCTAGGATCAGAATCCCTGGGTGTTAGACTCCGGTGCTTCTTCCCACATGAGCTCCTTAGATGGTATACTCGTTTCCCGCCATCCTTCCTCTCACTCCTTCATTACCGTTGGTAATGGTCAAAATCTTCCTATTTCATGTCGTGGAGAGTCTATCCTTCAAACCCCCGTGTCAAATTTCCCTCTTGATAATGTTCTAGTTATTCCATCTCTAGTGCACAACCTGCTTTCAGTTCGTCAGTTCACCAGGGACAACTATTCTATCGAATTTGACGCTCTTGGTTTTTTTTGTCAAGGATATCCCGACCCGGCGCGTGATGCTTTGCTCAATAGTGCTGGCGACCTTTACACCATCCCCGCTGCACCTTCCGCTCCACATGCCAGCCTCGCCATCTCCACCGACCTCTGGCATCACCATCTTGGTCATCCCAGCTCCGCCACCATTGACATTCTTCGCCATAATGAGTCCATCAGTTGTAATAAAGTAGAGCATCATCTATGTCATTCGTGTTAGCTTGTCAAAAATGTGTGGCTGCCCTTATCAAACTCTAGTTCATTTAGCTCTATTCCTTTTGAACTTGTTCATTGTGACGTGTGGACATCCCATGTTGCTAGTATCTCGGGTTATCAATATTACCTCGTTTTGCTCGATGATTTTACCCATTTTTGTTGAACTTTTCCCCTCGTTCGCAAATCTGAGGTTGCAGCCCACATCACCAATTTTTGCAACTATGTCTCCACACAGTTCAGCCTCGCTATCAAATCCATCCAGGCCAATAACCAGCACACATCACCAATTTTTGCAACTATGTCTCCACACAGTTCAGCCTCACTATCAAATCCATCCAGGCCGATAACAGCACCGAGTTCGTAAACAATACCATCCAGACTTTATTTGCCTCCCATGGTGTTCATTTACGCCTCTCGTGTCCATATACTTCTCCACAAAATGGCAAGGCCAAACGCATTCTTCGCACACTAAACAATATCAGCCGCACTGTGCTCATTCATTTGCACATGCCAGCACCTTACTGGGCTGAGGAGCTCGCCATAGCGACGTACCTGCTGAACCGGTGCCCGTGCTCCGCCGTTCACAATGCCATCCCATATGCTCTACTCTACAACAAGACACCTGATTACTCCCATCTTCGTGTTTTTGGGTGTCTCTGTTACCCCAACTTCACCGCCACAGCTCGCCACAAGCTTGCCCCTCGTTCGACAGCTTGTGTCTTTCTTGGCTATCCCTCCTCACACAAGGGGTACCGCTGTCTCAATCTGTCGATCCGGTGCATCATCATCTCGCGCCACGTTGTATTTGACGAGAGCAACCTGGATTTCTTGCTTGCAGGTACTGTGCCGACGCGCCTCCCTGCGGCCGCTCCGTCGCACGCAGACATTGAGCGACCGCTACCTACTCAGGTGGTCCCGGAGGAGTTGTTGGACGACCCCGCTATTCTTCTCCGCGGGCCTGTGTGGCTGCCACCCCTGCTCCACCAGCGGCCGCACCGCTTCCACTAGCGGCTGCCCCTGCTCCACTGGCCCGGGACTTCCACCTGACGTACAGTCAGCGTCCCTGGGCCTCTGCGACGGTGCCAGCGGTCGAGCAGCCCGCACCACCACCAGCAGCCAAGCAACCTGCACCACCGCCGCCCGAGCAGCTTACTCCGGCGCCGGTCGTGCTGGCCCCTGCACCAGCACATGCGCCGCCGGCCTACCGGATGGTTGCCCGGTCACAGACCAGCACTCTTCGTCTGGTACAGCGCTACGGCTTCTCCGCCACTCACTCCGTCATCTCGCCGGTACCGGCGAATTACCGGAGTGCCTTGGCCGACCCTCAATGGAGGGCTGCCATGGCTGACAAGTACAAGGCGCTCGTTGATAACGGGACATGGCGCCTCGTTCCTCATCCTCCTGGCGCCAACGTTGTGACGGGCAAGTGGATTTTCAAACATAAATTCCACTCGGACGGTTCCCTAGCCCGCCACAAGGCGCGTTGGGTGGTTCGCGGATTTTCTCAGCGCCACGGCATCGACTACAATGAGACGTTCAGCCCCGTTGTAAAGCCTGCCACAATACTCGCGTTGTCCTCAGCATTGCTGCTTCGCGATCCTGGCCGATCTACCAGCTTGACGTGAAGAATGCCTTTCTTCACGGTCATCTGGCGGAGACCGTGTACTGCCAGCAGCCTCCAGGCTTCGTCGACCCTGCTCGTACTGACGGTGTTTGTCTTCTACAACGGTCTCTATATGGCCTGAAACAGGCTAATCGGACCTGGTACCAGCATTTCGCCGCCTATCTCTGGCTACTCGGCTTCGTCGCGTCCGTCTCCGACACGTCCCTCTTTGTGCTCAAAGAGGGGGACGCTACCACCTACCTGCTCCTGTACTTTGACGACATCATCCTTATGGCGTCCTCGGCCGACCTCCTGCAATGCATCATGGCGCGTCTTCACTCCGAGTTCGCCATGACGGACCTTGGCGACCTGCACACTTCCTCGGCATCTCCGTCATGCGCTCGCCAGAGGGTCTATTGCTCTCCCAACGCCAGTACGCTGTGGATCTTCTACAGCGGGCGGGCATGGCCGAGTGTCACCCTACCACCACACCGGTTGACGCTCGTGCCAAGCTCTCAGCCACCGACGGAGCTCCAGTCGCTGATCCTTCCTAGTATCGGAGTCTTGCCGGCGCCCTACAGTACCTGACGCTCACCCGTCCCGAGCTCGCCTACGCGGTCCAGCAGGTGTGCCTCTTCAGGCACGATCCCTGCGAGCCTCATTTCGCGTTGATCAAGCGCATCCTACGCTACATGAAGGGTACTTTGTCCACTGGTCTCCACCTCAACTCCGGGCCGGTCAACTCCCTCACCGCGTACTCCGACGCAGACTGGGCGGGCTGTCCAGACTCCAGGCGCTCTACGTCCGGCTACTGCGTCTTCCTCGGCGATAACCTGGTCTCTTAGTCCTCCAAGCACCAGACGACGGTGTCCCGTTCCAGCGTTGAGGCTGGGTACCGCGCGGTTGCTCATGCCGTGGCCGAGTGCTGTTGGCTTCGTCAACGACTCCAGGAGCTCCACGCGCCCATTGCTTCTGCGACCGTCGTCGACTGTGATAATGTTAGCGCCGTCTATATGACCGCTAATCCTGTCCACCATCGTCGCACAAAGCACATCAAGATCGACATTCACTTTGTCCGCGACTTGCCTTAGGACAGGTTCAGGTGCTCCATGTCCCTTCGACTCATCAGTTCACGGACATCATGACCAAAGGCTTACCTGTACAGTTGTTCACTGACTCTAGGTCCAGTCTTTGCGTTCGAGATCCTCCCGCTGCGACTGCGGGCGGGTATTAGACATGTATAGTCCTGTATACATTGTATCTGGATATGTTGTACTCCAAGCCCCATTGGGCTATATATTTGAAAGGTCACCCCCCTAAGAGAGTGTGTGGTGTTTCCCTATCTCTCTACAATAACATTCTAGTGGGGTTTAATACATGTGTTATATAACTCTAAACTTATATTTTTCTATTGTTTATATTGCATATTCTTATATTCAATAGATGTGTAGTCATAAATCATACTAATATTTGTTTAGACTAAACTTTTTTTTTAGAAAAAAACATACTTCATGTGCTAATCTCTAAATAAATTTCGGCGAAATTTAGGCCGAATTTCACGAAATTCGGTAATTTCGGTGGTGGCCGAAATTTTTGCAATACCGAAATTAAAAACCCTGGGAATGATCACATATTTCATGAAAAATAGTAGCAAGATATGTACTTCATTACAGATCTAAAATGTAGATGATCTCTAGAAAATAATCAAAATATGGAAAATTGACAAAGTGGACGGAAATCACAAATCAATACTACAGCAAATGTTATTGCATAATTTGTTACAATGGAAAATATCAATGTTGAGGGAGGCCAGAGAAAATGGATGGAGGACAGTTTACAGTTCCCAATACACAGTTAGAACAGAGAGAGTAAACAAATAAAACCATACAGGATAGTACAACAGAAGTTGATATATACAAAACTGACACATCACCATACCTGAAAGGTAGCACCATTATGAATGATTTCATGGGCAACTGGATCATTGATATACTGATGTAACGGCATAACCATATCCTCCGCATCATATGCATATGCCTTGACCTTCTTACTACTATGAACTTGGTCAATCCCCCTGGCATCTCTCTGGACAGTTACAGTATAATCATTGAAGGAATATTCTAATACAGGCAATGGAAAAATCATAGTTGTGATCTATAAGTTCATTAGTTCCAAGATAATTTGGAATCTATGCTCCTGGTTGTTCAAATTAAATATGCCAAGAAAAAGTATGGAAGTGTAACTGCTATTGAAGCTCAAGGGGTCACACTTGGAACCCTCCTCTGACGGAACTAGGATGTTGAATCACTGTCCTGTAACACCTAAAAAGTAAATGGATGGTAGGGAAACTGTAATATACAGAGCTCGATCTCTACGAATTTAAGGAAAATCCACAGTGGATCAACTGATTTATCTCTATTACAATTGGTGTTTGGTTTGGTTAATACCAGATACTGATATCTATCAAACATCCAATTCAAGGTTGAATATAAAGCACAAGGTCCCAAAATATAAGGTCCATATTTTAGAAAATTAAGTATCTTGACAGCATTTGTCAACTTTGAGCCCACAATCATATCCACCATATGTTACTGAGTACTTTCTGACACAATAAAGTACGAATCTAAACCAAAGGTTGAACTGAAGTGGATAGGCATACCCTGGCAAACAGATCTTCTCTCATCCAAGGAACCAAGTACTTCCAAGGCCAGGTGTCCAAAGTACTGATAGTTAAGTTTGGGTGCACAAGGAATCTAGCTGCAACTTCAACTGAGAACTCATATGTGCTAAATGCACGATCAACTGGGTTCCTTAGTATTGTTACAACAGAAGTTCTCTCCCTTGGCAGCTTGGAAGTTAAGCTATAGTCATCATGACTAACAACCAGCTTGCAATCAGGATGGCTGATAAGAATACCAAAATATCATTAGAAATTGTAAGCAAATTATCTTAAGAAAAAATCTTGGAACTGAACTCATGAGACAAACACTGATAGTTACTTCATAAGGAACAACAATTAAAAAGTGCTCCTTCACTACCTACATATTTGTTGGCAACTTGGCATGACCCATAGACAGGCCACGACATCCATGTAAAATGTCATTTAACAATTTGAAGATGTAGTTCCTATGCATATACTAGAATGCAGTAATTAGCATACTGGGATACCACCCATGTTAACAACTTTCACATTCCTGGTCAGGTAAGCACTAAGAACATTATTTCATTAGACCGAAATGCAGTAAACCATATAGATTGCATTTAAATTCTTTGGTTTATGATCGCAATTTGTAAAATAAAAGATAATTTTCCTAGAGGGGTATTCCCAAAGCACTTTTTTCATAAAGGCCATGAAATTAACTAATTAAAACAGCAGGGCAGATGGCACCCAGGAATTCGAAGAAGACGTTCATTTTTTTTAACAAATTCAGACAGCTCACAGAACAGTGCTACTAATCAGAACTCAGATGAGGTGCTCAAGAAACAGATATGGTTTGTCGAATTGCCCAATGGACATGATGATGCAGTTGAACAAAGTAGAGAGCTAACTTTCCTCACCTTGGGTCGAACCGTAGCTTGTCGTAGGAACGCGGGCATTGCTGCGCATTTGTATACAGCTTTTTGAGGAAGCTGCCCAGGCATGAAACATCAGCGGGATACACCTTAGATTACTGTGAACCAAACTGATGTCCAGTCCAGCGAATGTACCAGCGAGAGTAGGCGCGACCTCCAGTCCTAGGAATGTGGAGGAAGAAGAGCAAATCCTTGAGGCTCAGTCTGTCCCCGTCCTCCTCGCGCCCAGCGGAGGAATCCGACCAGCCCCTGACAACACCCTCGCAGTGTTTGTACCCATCGTCGGAACTGACAAGCGGAAGCAGAGCCACTGCATCACCCGAACGAACGAGCGTTCAATTAGTTCACAAACGACGCAAAAATCCGAGGCAAGCATTTTTCCCAGCTCAACGAGCGCACCGCGCCGAAACAGTGCCAGCGAATGAATCGCTCGATCAACACGGCGTCAGCAACCGCAAAGCAGAATTCAGACGTGGCGAGGAGACAGCCGAGAGGGAGGCGGGCCCAGCCGCCGAGGCCGAGGCGGGCATAAATAGTGGGGGTTTGGCACTTGGCAGTGGCAGCAGCGGTGGTGGCCTGGTGGGAAAGCGCCGCGCGCCGCCCGCGCCATCGATGGGTTTTGGTCTGTTTCGCCCAGCCGCCGAGGCCGGCCAGCGGAATAAATTTGTTCTTACTTTGTGCCGGATCTTACCGTGCCAGCGGCAGCATTGTTTTCCTCGTGACCTGGTGGGCCGTGCGCTCTAGCGCCGCCGCCTTCTCGAGCCGCCGCCAGGGATGGGTTCTGGTCTGTTTCCATGCTAGCCTGGCTTCCACCGGCCCTCGGCCAGCGGACCTCCAATTGTTCTTCCGAGCTCTGGCACCACCCCGCCCGTGCCAGCGGCTCAAACCTTCCTGCGCATTTTTTATCCTCGAGTTCAGTCTTGATACGGTCGGCGCCGACCGGCGCCTGCGCTCCTAAAGCCCATGGTTGCCACCAAAGCCTTCTCGAGCCGCTCGCCAGAGAGCTTTCTCAACACGCGCGCCTCTCCATGGCTCAGCCTAGGCTTCTCACCGAAGCATTGGCCCGTTCGCACCTCCACACCAAAAACAAAACGTGCAGCTCCGAAATCTGGCACCACCCCAACTAAACATGGCCCCGATGATCCAACCAAAAGCTCCTCCCGTGGCCCCAAACCTTCCTGGCGCGACTTTCTCCTCCTGCCTCTCTCTTCGGTCTTGCATGTATCCTCGCCGCCGCTTCACCAGTCTCTAGCATGATAGCATCCCGACAACCGCCCGTGGGCCGTGGCCGCTGCGTCGGACCAGAGGCCCAGGGATGGCGCGGGTGACGCCCGTCGCCGGTGAGCACCCATTACAGGACTGTCACATGCAATGAGCCCCACAATTCAGAGTGAGTCCATCCTATACTACTGTACTTTACAAGTTATCTATACTTGTGAACACACTACCAACGCGCCATCTCAAATTGTCTGGCACCAGTACGACCGCACGAGTATACACGATGATTCTGTGGATGCTAACACCTCTGCCCCAAAGAATGCATAGGGTAATGTCTGGGGGCATCATCAGACTGTACATCAAAATCTAGAGACTGCCTCATGAATTCTATTTAAACCTTAAGTTTAGACGTTCTTTTTCTCGTCGTTACAGCAGATGTGACCAAAACTATGATCGTGGTGATCCCTAGACCAAGCAAGACCACCATCCAAGGCGAGCAAATCCCGTCGCTGCAGATTATGCTGATCCAGCCCTCCTGAAAGAGATAAGGCAAAGCACATGAGGCTTGCTAATAGCAGCAGTACAATTCTTCATTTCCACAGTTCCACCGCATACGAGAATGGTTCATCTTATCGTGTTTCATCCCTGGCATGTGCGCATGCATCAAATAGTAGCACATGTGATGTTAATGTTATGTCAAGTAAATTGGAAAACTAACATATTCAAGCACTTGATGACTGTTGATATGAAGCAGGCTCCCTTATTTGTCAAATTTGACTAGATTGTATTTCAAAAATTAGCATGGTTAGCCATGGGTACACCCTCTGGACCTCACCCATGTCCACCACACATCACTGAGATTCTTAATTCTTGCAGGAAAAGCTTGTCAAACTAAAATGAACCGCATAAGTAGTGTTCTTTGAGTTTGAATAAACCTTTTGTTCTGCCAACTGTCTGTGCTGCCCCACCATGGATTGCTGAGCTTTTAGCATCAGATGTTCCTGGGTAAAAATTTTCTTAGCATGATCATAAAGTTCCATGTCAAGGCTGTTCAATGAGATAATTTGTTTCAAAATTGCCTCAGGTACCAGCTTCCGTGCCTGCAAACAGAACTTCCTATGTCATTGCTGAAACATTCTAATATGAAAGGACTCAAACATATAATATAAGATAGAAACAAACAGAAATTTCCACCTATCATTTGAGTGTTCCATTATGACAAAAAGATAAGCACATGAATGATTGTGAAGTTTTGAGCACATCAGCCTTAGCAATTATATCTCTATTTCTTTTTTCATGGCCTCAGTGTGTACTTGATATTGATAGAGAGGAAAGAAATTGGGTATCCACATAAGCTAGAAACACCATCAGAAATTTCCAATTATTTTTGCTGTTTTAGTTATGACAAAAATATAAGCACATGAATGGTTGTGAAGTTTTGAGCACATCAGCCTTAGCATTTGTATCCCTATTTCCTTTTTCTGAGCTTCAATTTGTATTTGATATCGATATAGACAAGGGAATCAGGTACATATGATGCAGATTTCTGTACTCGCAAAATACAAAATGAATCAAAAGCAATGTTCAATGTTTGGTCGTTACCTCTTTTGAAAAGTTTGCTTCCTGAACTTTCTTTAGGGATATTTTACGACGGCTAGATTGAGACTTCCGCAGTTTGGCGATGCAAGTTTCATAAGCTTCCATCAGTTTACCAACAGTCACCTGGCATCAGGAATAAACTAGCATTGTGATCACAGGTTAATAACAGAAAACTCTACACAAGGTTTCACAAAAAGAAAACGGAAATAAAAGAAAGAACACTCTACACAAATAATTGAGTCCTTCAAGTAGTGTATTACATTTCCTTTTCCATGTTCGTCGTTGGTAGAGTTCAGGGCTTCATTATTTTGCCAACCATGCGTGCTATTCTATCAAGAGAACATAAATATGAGATGGAGTGTACAGATTCTACTATATAATCACGCAAAACTAAACAGCGCAATTATAAGGTTTATAACCACCCTCATACCAGATGTTCGTTTGTTTCTTCATCATCGGGCTCCACCATGGATGGGTGAGAGTCTGTGAACAGTAGAGATTAGATCCTCATTTATCATCTTTGAGTTGTCAAAACTGTATCAAAAGAATATGGAGAATCATATACCCAGAATAAACATAAGATTTCTTTGTGTAATTATTTCTTCAAGTCACTTTCTTTCATAGCCTTCCTGGCTTAATGTTAAGTTATTTCTTCAAGTCACCTTTTTCAGATTTGCCCTAATGTTTTTAGTGCAGCAAATCATGCACAAAACCACAAGTTGCTACTTCAAATGCTACATCAGCCACAGTTAGAGTGCTGCTTATGCATTAAGTGGTTGATGAGCAGCTTCATTCCACTAGTCTGTACTTTTGCTGAATGTTATGCTGGTTCAAACTCACATTCATTTTGATCAGGGATGCACATACGATATCTCCGTATTGATGCATGAATCTATGCTTGGGTTTCGACAATTGCAGTGATGCATTGCTAATTTGTTAGGGAATTGTCTCATCAAAACATCGCTGTACTATCATTCAGTTTCAATAATCAATAAAAGATAAAGTTGAGCTGTTGGCCATTGGTCTAAAATAACATAAATGCAACTACTGAAGACACAATAATAAGTTAGGACCACCAGATTGCAATGTGTATTACCAGTCTCACTGGGCACATCTTCCTTGAGATCTAAATTCAATGTCCCAGATTGTGAAAGCACCTGTGCTCCTACCATATGAGCAAACAACCTCGCTGATTCTTCATGGTCCTCCGTAAGTCCTACATATAGCATCTGGTCCAGCCTATTCTGTAATAAAATATCATGGTATTACTTTAGGGAGGGAAGTATATAAAAAAACTCTAGACCCGCCTTCGTATACTGAATGGATGTATTTGTTTTAGTAAATGTTATTGTCATAATGCATTTACCTACTGTTTAAGTCCCTTCTGCATTACTGTATAGTCAACACAGTGATGTTTTGCATGCAGGAGAATATAGTTAATGAATGATGTATCACATGCTTTGGCCATTGGAATGCACAACAAAAACCTTTCACAACATTCATCTTTGGTATATACCTTAGCAACTTCAAGCACAATACGACCAAGATCTGGATGCTTTCTGACACAATGACGAATCTCATGTGCTCCATCAAAGTATGAATTGTTCGTTAACCCAGTAATCTGCCAAGGTAACATGAGTACACATAAACAAATTAGCAAAACCAGATCGTTAAAGCTGGCTGGGAAATCACCTGCAGCCAGATGTTTAATACAGTTTTGCTTGTGTGAGAAGATATAATACAGTAGTATAACACAAATACACATGAGACAAAACACAGTACTGGTACAGATTTGCAACAAAATTACTGAACAGTGAATATACAAATTGATCAGTTTGTCAGGACAATGTGTACTGGGAAATTGGTATGGGAAAAAAAACACTATTATTCTGCTCAATCTTTCCACAAAGGTTTTTCTCCCAATTATTCTTATAAAGATCCTGAGGTTCTGTAGGAAAATGTATATGCATATAATAGAACTGCTGAACTTGTCATTGTTTGAGAACACATGGTGATGAAGTAGAGGTTTAACTGTGGTGGATATATCATATCAGTAAAAAAAGTCATAGTAAGCATGCATGCATCTGTTTTTTATTGTCCAGCTGTATCGCATGAGCTATCCAGGTTGTTCAAGTAGGGAATGATCACATATTTCATGAAAAATAGTAGCAAGATATGTACTTCATCACAGATCTAAAATGTAAATGATCATCTTTTGAAAATAATCAAAATATGGAAAATTGACAAAGTGGATGGAAATCGCAAATCAATACTGCAGCAAATGTTATTGTATAATTTGTTACAATGGAAAATATCAATGTTGAGGGAGGCCAGAGAAAATGGATGGAGGACAGTTTACAGTTCCCAATACACAGTTAGAACAGAGACAGTAAACAAATAAAACCATACAGGATAGTACAACAGAAGTTGATATATACAAAAATGACACGTCACCATACCTGAAAGGTAGCACCATTATGAATGATTTCATGGGCAACTGGATCATTGATGTACTGATGTAACGGCATAACCATATCCTCCACATCATATGCATTGACCTTCTTACTACTATGAACTGTGTCATTCCCCCTGGCATCTCTCTGTAAAGTTACAGTATAGTCATTGAAGGAACATTCTAAGGCAATGGAAGAATCGTAGTTGTAATTTATAACTTATAAGTTTATTAGTTCCAAGATAATTTAGAATCTAAGCTCTTGGTTGTTCAAATCAAATATGACAAGAAGTGTAACTATTATTGAAGCTCAAGGGGGGTCACACTTGGAACCTTCTGACAAAACTAGGATGTTGAATCACTGTCATGGAATACTATGGATGGTAGGGAAACTGTAATATACAGAGATCTCTACCAATTTAAGGAAAATACAAAGTGGATCAATTGATTTATATCTATTACAATTGGTGTTTGGTTTGGTTAATATCAGATATAGATATCTATCAAAGATCCAATTAAATGTTGAATATAAAGCACAAGGTCCCAAAATATAAAGTACATGTTTTAGAAAATAAAGTATCTTGACAGCATTTTGTCAAAACTATTGCATTTGAACAGCTGCAATATGAGCCCACAAGCATATCCACCATATGTTACTGAGTACTTTCAGCCACTATAATTCTATAAAGTACAAATCTAAACCAAAGGTTGAACTCAAGTGGATAGGCATACCCTGGCAAACAGATCTTCCCTCATCCATGGAACCAAGTACTTCCAAGGCCAGATGTCCAAAGTACTGACAGCACGAGACTTTGTTAACACACGGGTAGTCATTAACTTTGCAGAAGTTAAGTTTGGGTGCACAAGGAATCTAGCTGCAACTTCCACTGAGAACTCATATGTGCTAAATACACGATCAACTGGGTTCCTTAGTATTGTTACAACAGAAGTTCTCTCCCTTGGCAGCTTGGAAGTTAAGCTATAGTCATCATGACTAACAACCAGCTTGCAATCTGGATGGCTGATAAGAATACCAAAATGTCATTAGTTTGTCAGCAAATTATCTTAAGAAAAAATCTTGGAAATGAACTCATGGGGACAAACACTGACAGTTGTTTCACAAGGAACGACAATTAAAAAAGTGCTCCTTCACTACCTACATATTTGTTGGCATGACCCATAGACAGGTCACAACATCAATGTAAAATGCCAGTTAACAATTTGAAGATGTAATTGCTATGCATATACTAGGATGTGGTAATTAGCATACTGGGAGACCATCCATGTTAACAACTTTCACATTCCTGGTCAGGTAAGCACTAAGAACATTATTTCACTAGACAGAAATGTAGTAAGCCATAGATTACATTTAAATTATTTGGTTCGTGATCTAAATTTGTAAAATAGAAGATAATTTTGTTAGAGCGAGTATTTTCAAAGAAATATTTTCATAAAGGCCACAAATTAATTAATTAAAACAGCAGGGCAGATGGCACACAGAATTTGAAGGAAACACTCATTTTTTAACTAATTCAGACAGTTCACCAGAACAGTGCTATGATTCAGAACTGAGATGAGGTGCTCATGAAACAGATAACGTTTGTCGAATTTTGCCCAATCGAAGCAAAGTTGAGAGCTAACTTTCCTCACCTTGGGTTGAACCGTAGCTTGTCGTAAGAACGCGGGCATTCCTGCACATTTGTATACAGCTTTTTGAGGAAGCTGCAAGGCATGAAACATCAGCGGGATACACCTTAGATTACTGTGAACCAAACTGATGTCCAGTCCAGCGAATGTACCAGTGAAAGTAGGTGCGGCCTCCAGTCCTAGGAATGTGGAGGAAGAAGAGCAAATCCTTGAGGCTCAGTTTGTCCCCGTCCTTCTCGCGCCCAGTGGAGGAATCCGCCCAGCCCCTGACGATACCCTCGCAGTGTTTGTACCCATCGTCGGAAGTGACAAGTGGAAGCAGAGCCACTGCATCACCCAAACGAAAGAGTGATTAGTCCACAAACATCGCAAAATCCGAAGCAAGTATGTTTCCTAGCTCAACGAGCGCACCACGCCGAAACAGTCCCAGCGAATGAATCGCTCGATCAACACGGCGACCGCAGCCTCAAAGCACAATTTAGACGGTGCCGAGGAGACAGGCGAGAAGCGAGAGAGAGGCAGGCGCACCTGACACGAGGACGAGGAGCGCGAGCGCGCGGGCGCCCAATCTGAGCGCCGCTCGCGCCATCGATTCGGCAGGGGCACCGTCCGGCGCCCAGATCCGGAGGCGAAAGCGGTGCCCTGGCGCAGCGATTGGGGGAGAGGAGAACCCGCGAGGACAGGCACGGAACGCAGCGGTGACGGAAGGGAGGACGACGCGGGGCGTTAAAAAGGGGTGCGGGGAGAGGAAGCGGAAACGGAAGGATCGTGAACGGGCGGCGGCGGTGGCGACAAGCGGGGCACAGACGGAAGGGCGGTGAGGGCCTCGGCACCGGCGCGGGCGGCCCGGCACCCGCCGCTTTCCTCGCCTCCCTCGGCCTCCGAGCCCCCACTGCCCGGTGCCCCGCCCTCTGCTCTCTTCTCGTCGCGGCGTTGTTTATTCGCTCGCACGCGCGGCTGCCCCTGCCCAGCGCTACTCAGCGCTAGTGCCGGTCGCTCTCGGGGCGGGGGAGGGCGTGCCGGGGCCGAGGCGGGCGTAAATAGTGGGCGGGTTGGCGGTGGCAGCAGCGGTGGTGGGAAAGCGCAGCAGAAAGGCCAGTTTTCCTCGCCACTTGCGCCGCGCCGTGCCGTGTGCCGTGGGATGGGTTTTGGTCGGTTTCGCGCTGCCGGCCAGCGGTGGATCTGCCGTGCCGGCGGATTTTCCATCGGTTTCTACGCGTGTGCTTGATTGAAGTCGAGTTGACGAGAGATGAGGGATGCCAGTTTCATTCTGGCTTTTTTAGGACGAAGTCGTCCCAGCTGCATTTGGTTGAAGAGATAGAATATCTTTATTTTTTGTTTGGTTAAGGTGATTATGAGTCAAATGGATGATGTATGTTTTTAACACCGTCTTTCTGTAGTGCAAATCTCTTCTTCCCTCTTTCTGGTCGAGTTCTGGTATACGTCGACCGGCCATGCACTCTAACGCCACCAGCCTGCTTGGGTCGCTCGCCAGAGCGCTAATCAACATATACCTCTCCATCAAACTATCCTCTTCATCGAAGCATTGGTTTGTTCACGCCTCCACATTAAATCCTACAGTTTTAAGATGCCTCTCCATCAAGCTACGGTCTTAATTGAAGCATTGGCATGTTCACGCCTCCACACTAAATCCACAGTTCTGAGCTCTGTCACCATCGGCTCAAGCCTTTGCACGCCACCCTACCATTGATCTCGTGGCTCAATCTTGATATGGTCGACATTGCCCAAGCCCATGGGCGCCTAAAGCTATGCCGTCTAAAGCCCATGGTCGCGCTACCCAAAGCTGAAGTTGCTTCCGTGCACCAGAAGCTCCTCCCGTGTGGCCACCAGCCCACCACCTCACACCAAAACAGGCGAACGGCGCCATTAATTGGAGACAAACTAATCCCGCCAATTTCAATGGATAGGGTGACCCAAATCTAAGGGGGATATTCCCCCTAAGAACGTATCCATCCTAGCTTGTCATAAACTAAACACTGCAAAAAGAGCTCGCCCTGTCCTACACCCAATTGTCCTAAGAACCAAACACATAATATAGTGATTGGTGAGATCCATCCGTACTTCAGAAGTTTGTATGGTGCGCATCACACTGTCCTCTGTGTGTATCATCGTTTGTTCATCAATAAGTGTCAATGCACGTACACTTGTGACCATCAAGGCATGGAACGAAACTTAACACCAAGGGGATGTTTGTTTGGTGGACTAACCAATTTAACCACATCTAATCCTAGGCCTCTAGAATCTTATGTCTAAGAATGTTGTCTTGCCTAAACAAGTTTCTCACATCAGAAGAACCAAACAATCTTGTCACGAGCGAGTTTCGTAATATATGAAACTAGCTCAAACCAACAAGTTTGGCATGCCTAACTCGTGAGTCGTGGCTAACAAAACGTCAGCTCTACAAGATCTGTAGTAGCAAAATACGGACTAGGTCAGACTTGGCTTTCAACCGAACTACTAGTCCAAACGATGATGATAAACCACCTGTGTCAGACGCCCTCAACAGTTGACACATGGAGTTTGGTGCTAATGATAGATCCTTTTCCTCCGATCCATAGAATTTTATATTCAGCTGGTGGCCTGGTGCTCGTGATAATTCGGCTCTTGATTGGTGAGCCGCAAGCCCGCAATCCTGCGAGGAAGGATGCAACTTGTGGTGGGCGGCCTTTGCCGCATGTGTTGTCTGGTACGGGGGGATGAGCAGAGTTGCCGGATTCAGGCTCTTGCTGCCTGCCTAGTGCCGTTCGGTGGACGGAGGATGGATTGGATTATGGATGGATGGATCGGATGGTTACCCACTAATCAGGGATCCTGCCATGCAAACCTTTTCTTCTACTACGTACGTACGTATTATTTTTGTGGTCCTGCTGTTTGCTGCCTTGAAAAAAAAAAGGTAAGAAAGCATGTGTGCTGCTTCATGTTCCGATGAAGCATCTCTCGATCTTCTGAGGGTTGTTTGGTACCTCCTAAACTTTAGTTATCTAAATAAGCTTTTAAACTTTAGTCACCCTCAATCGCAAAAAAAATAATTAGTCACCCCATTTGGTTTGGTAGACTAAAATAGACTAAATGAGACCTTTTATTCCATTTTAATCAGGGTGTTTGGCTCTAAAGTGACTAAAAGGTGAGGTTTAATCTCATTTAGCAAAATTTGAGTGACTAGCTGACTAAAACTCATTTAGTTCTATTTAATCAAAGTGTTTAATAAAAAATAACTAAATAGGACTAGATTTCGAGAATGAAGAGTGAACCTAGCACCCCCTCATATTGGAAAAGCAGGAAGCAGATGAGCTGAACTTTCTGCCACTGTGTTTCCTGCCATGTGTTGGTGTGGTGACATTCAGTGTGCAGTTGAGCAAGTTAGGCCCCGTTTAGATCCAAAATTTTTTGGATTTTAGCTACCAGTAATTAGTGTCAATTATAGACTAATTAGATGACCCAACTGTGTAATTAGTTTTTTTTTCGTTATTTAGCTCCATGAATTTTTTTTGGAACCAATTATTGCAGAATTGGTCAATTGGGAAGGTTAGTGATTAATTGTGTTTTTTTTATTTGGTTGTTTCGTCCTTCGTCATCAGTACATGTATGTGTATCTAGTGTTTTGGCAGTTTTTTACGCAGCTTCACCGGATCTCTTGTTATGCATCTTCTATAAGTTGTTTTAAGAGAGTGTCTTAAAATTAATTTAGAATATATGAGAACATTGCTGTAGCAGATTACCTAAAATTTATCATTTACGGATAAATGAGAGGGGGATGTCTCCTTTAGGAGAAGGATGCTTTTTTAGAAGATCTTTTGACAATTCAATTATAGGTACAAGAGATGAGAATTGATATCTTTTGTATCACCTCTATCTTCTAAAATATTACTTTTTAAATATAGAAAATAAGATAGAAAATCCATGGAAATAGTCTTGTTTTCTAACAGTAGCATTCTATGGAACAAAAAGATGGTGTTTAAATCCAGGGACTAAAATTTAGGGGTGTTACATCGAGTGTCACATGGGAGTGTTCGGATAGTAATAATAAAACAAATTACACAAGTCCTCAGTAATCCGTGAGACGAATTTATTAAGCCTAATTAATTCATCATTAGCACATGTACTGTAGCACCATATTCTCAAATCATGGACTAATTAGGCTTAAAAAATTCACCTCGCAAAGTAGTCGCAATCTGTGTAATTAGTTATTTTTTAATCTATATATTAATACTCCATGCATATATAAACATTCGATAGGATAGAAACTAAAGTTTAGTAAAAGAATCTAAACAAGACCATCCTACCCCTGTTTTCCAAGAACTAGCAGCAGCAACAAACAACAAGAACAGAGAACAAGGCCGCGTCTAGATGCAAAAATTTTTATAAAAACACTGCTTATCCGAACACAGGCATTTCTTCTTTCATATTTAATAATTAGTGTCTAATTATGAAACCAATTAGGAACAGAGAACAAAAGAAGGGCCAATCAGTTAGTCTTGTGCTGATTTCTCACTCAACTATGTAATCAATTTTTTTGTTTACATTTAATAATTATTGTCCAATATGGCCTAACTAGGCTCAAAAGATTCCATATCGTAATTTACAATCAAACTGTAGTAAAATATTTTTTTTAAACAGCCCCAAAACGAAGGGCCAATCAGTCTGCCAGTGCCAGGACATAAATATATACTAGTACTATGCTGTCACATCCGGAAAAGCAATCTGCCTCCTCATTCATGCTTGCCAGTTGTTAAATCCATTGCCAGTCTAGTCAGCCTACACTCCTTCGTTCGTTACGGTTACTCCCTCCGTAAAACAAAATACAATTCTATATTTAAAATAGTTACTTTTCTTAAAAAGATACTCGTTTTCTAAAGTTTACTTTAACTAAATTCATAGAACATAATATTAATATTAGTATGTAAAAATATGTTTACTATTAAAATATATTATAATTAATCTAATCTAACTTATTTGATACCATATATATTAGGATTTTTATAAATTTAATCAAATTTAAAATTATTTGAGTCCATTAAATTTTAAATTGCTTGACTCCTCAAAATTGAGTAATTATTTTTTTAAAGGAGTGCTGCTACTCAACAGCATTATTCCTATTCATTCTCCTCGTCGCCATCAGCTAGAGGGATGAGGATGAATCTTGCAATCAGTCATTTGACGACACCACCACTAACCAGCGGTCAAAGCCTTTCTGTTCGACAGATATAATTCATAATTGACTGGAAACGGAAATCCTCTTTCAGCAACTCGTAGGCGGTAGGCCCTGTTGTGCTTCTGGCTTTTACTTTTCACTAGCACAAAGCCACAGCCCACAACCACAAGTTTTTTCAGTCACCTGGTATCCGATTTCGCTGGCTTAAGAGAGATGCTGTAACGATGGACGTTACATTTGTTATACACTTAATTGATTCAAAGTTTGTCTAACTTTTCACAAGCTGGCTTTTAACAACAGCCATAAAAGCAAGCTTTTCCAAAAGCAAAACCTCAAGCCAGACAAAAAAGTTATTTGTGCAAACTACATCTTAGATACAAACATGTAAATTATTTTTAAAACCATACTTTGGTTATTTAAAAAATACTGAAACTTGATACATCCATAGTGTACTCATATGCAAAAGTTAAGATGTAAACTCAAACTAGAAAATTCATACAGAAACAATAAATTTTAGGTGCATGTGCGTAATTTTTGTCTTGTCCTGCAAATGCATATGAAATTTGTCATTTTCGTATGAGTTTTTGTAGTTTGAGTTTGCATCTCAACTTTTACATGTGAGTACATATATGGATGTACCAAGTTTAAAATTTTGCTGAATGATCGAAGTACGTTTTTTTAAATAGTTTATATGTTTGCACGAGTTTTCCCAGACATGCATGCCCTTAATTAGCACTCCAAAGTTTATATATATGTCTTATTTGTAACACAAGAGTTTTCCCTTACGTAAATATAGTAGTGCTCCCTCATATATAGGATCTTGAGTAAGTAAACTTGTCCTAAATTGAAACAAATTTATATACCTTTGTATTTCAGACGGAAGAGAATAATTTTAATGTTTTCTAGTCAAGGTTCCTAAGCTCAAAAGAGAAACCTAGGTTGTATATATTTAATTGTATAAGCAACAATAATATAATCCTCTTACATTATAGCAACCGTCGATGCTCAAAGTTATTACTCCCTCTATTACAAATTACACGATGATTTTTCTAGATACATAGATTTTAATATACACCATATTTAGATATATAATAAAACTAATGTTTCTAAAAAAAAGTTCAAAACATCGTATATAATTTATAAATAGAGGGAGTACTTAGTTCACCAGGACAAAAGTGACAACGAGTGTTCAGGATCATGAAGACCAGGAACTAAGATAAGGTACAGGTACTACTACTACCTAGCGTGTGTTAAGGTGCAAAATCCTCGATCATTTTAGCGTCCATGCCTCCATGGCAATGGCATGGCTCTGATCGATCTCCTACTGGTATGGTCCGTGGGGTGGGCCGCCAAATGGCGGAAACGGCAGATGCGGGTCGTCGAGCTCAGCCTGGTGGTGGAAGAGTGACGAGTAGTCGAACGCGGCGGGGGCGGTGATCGCCCTGGTGACGACCTCGCCGAGCTCCGACGACTCCGCCCCGCGCATGCGCGCCCCCGGAGCCTCATAGTCGTAGATGTCGGCGTAGCAGCTCCCGTCCACCACCACGGGGTGCTGCGGAGGAAAGTAGCTCGACGCGGGCGGCGAGAAGGCCGCGGCGGCGGCGGCGGCGGGGTTGTCCGTGGCCTCGCCGGCTTGGTGGAACGGCGGAACGGAGGGGAAGGGGAAGGGGAAGGACGCGGCGGGCGCGGAGGCGGGGCCGTGGTCGTGGTCGTGGAGCCCTGCCGTCTCCACCTTGAGGACGCGCTTGAAGCCCATCCCCAGCAGCTGCATGCTCGGGTCCAGCTGCTGCTCCAGCGGCGCAGGCGGCGGCGGCGACTGGCTCTTGGCGGCCACGGTGGCGCGCTGCTTCTGGTGGCAGGCGTGCTCACCCTGGTACGTGACGTCGAACACGCAGAGGTCGGTGTCGGAGCGCTGCACCTGCTTCGTGGCGGCGCACGCCTGCGCGGTGCGGTACGTGCACCGGTAGTAGCCCCTGCAATGCAACAGCAGCAGCAGCAGTAGGTGTCCTGTACCAGACATCAAATATGCTACCTGAATCGGAAACTTCTGTCACATGAATCGATCGAATTGCTTCGCTACGAAATTCGTGCAGAATTTCTCGTGAGATACGATTCACCAAAACAGAGGCCGCTACAAAACACGTTGTGCTTATGAAATTCATCTGCATCGTCAAGTTTTCGATGTTGATGGTTGAGGGTTTTTACCTGGGAAACTTGGCGCCGAGGATGTCCTTCTGGCCGTACTTTCTCCAGCTGAAGCCGTCGTCCGGGGTGGCCTCCAAGCTTGCATCTGGCACTCGGAATTTCGCGGTCCATCTTGGTAGACCTTTCCTGTAGGATTCATGACCAGGAAAACGAGTGGGGTCAGTCAGATGTTCAGATCGTCTTTTTTTGTTGACTTGCAAATGCTCTGTATTTGACCGAGTGTTGATGCCTATGATCCCAAAAACATGTTGTTCTCTCACACCAAACCAGCCAAAGCAAGAAATAATCCACGCGTACGATATCACGGCCTTTGACCCCAAAAACATGTTGTTCCCTTTTTTGACCAAACAATCATAGGTCCCATAGCCTATGACTATGACCAGGATGCTACTACCAATTTACTCTCTGTAGTAGCACATGAGGCAGTATATGATAACTAATTCTTCATGCTGTTAGGTACCTTTCCAAGATCCTTTTCAGGTTTACTGAGGAGTAAATTAGTCTGTTGACTTACTGCCTATATATGACAGAGTAGAATAGTGCGATTTTTCTAAAAATATAGTTTCGTATGCTATACGCCTATACTTATACGTCAGCCTCTGAGATAACATGAACACTGCGTACCGTTGCTTCCAGGATTCTGTGATCATATTAATCCTAACGCAATAATACATCCACAGAACATACTCTATTGGTTCTAAATTATAAGAAATTTTAATTTCTTAAATATATTATTTTTATTATATATTTAAGTGTATATTGATATCTATGTACAAAAATTAAAATATCTTATAATTTGAAATGGATGGAGTAACGTGGTATGTAGAACGTTTGTATGGGATAGCTTTTGGCACCACACCCACGTTTCTATCACTTAGGGTACAGTAGCTTTGTTGCCTATTGCACGCGTCCTTAATCCTCTGTTTCTTTTCTTAAAAGGAAAAAAAATCCTCTCAAATAAAGCTTGTTTTGTGGAAAATGATTTCTGAATATGGCTGGTGTATCTGTCTGACAGTGGCGTTACCACGAAGTATTGTGCACTATTACGTAGGTGCTGTCTCCTAATTTGGTCTAAAGTCTAAACACACAAAAAGTGCTGCCTGTGATGCTGAGAGTCGAAGCAAGGTTCACAGCCTTGAGACGCGTGTGCAGATGTGCCACATCGCTGGACTACCAGAATTGAAAATTTGAGTTTTTGTTTTAAAAAAAATAAAAGTGAGTAAATAATGTTTGGCATATGTGCTGAAAATGGTACAATTGTTGGAAACTGTACAAATTCACATACATGAACGTGCTCAGCTTCAAAGAATATCAAACTCTGTAGGATCTAGGTGATATCGTTTTCTATATGCATGAACGTGAAAATTCAAGTTCAGAGTCAGTCAACTCTAAAAGATATGACAAAAGGAATTAGGAGCCATTGCACTGCAAAGACGTCTCGTGCTAGTTCTATTGTTCCTGAATTTTTATGTGTATATATGCTTCATAAACGGAGTCGAGTCTGAACTTGCATATTTGCATGAACATAGAACGCAGGTTTTGAATTTGAAAAAAAACAAGTGAACGCAACGCACCTTCTCTTGCACATGCTCTGGCGCTCCTGCACCTCTGTCGCGACCGTCGTCCCGCCGGAGCTCTCGTCCGCCGACCGCGGCGAGTCGGAGCGGTCGGTGGCCCGCGACGACCCCGGCGCGGCGGCCTCGATGGCCCTGGCGGCGGCCGCCGCCTTCCCGAGCGTGCACTGCAGCCGCCGCGCCGCGCCCCTGTAGTGCTCCGCGCGGGAGGACCACGGGTCGTCGGCGGCCATCATGTCCCCGAGCTGGAGCGCCTGCTCCTCGCCGTCGGCGAGGAGCGTCAGGAGCGTCTGGATGCTCCCTGCTTCTGCTCCCGCGCCGTCTTGCATGGCTGGCGTGCTCTTGCTTGCCGGTTGCCGCCTAGCTCTCGATCTGCAGTGCAACAGACACTGATTCGACCGACCGGCGCTCAGCGACTGCTTTGTGATGATTCTTGGATGATGATATAACACCTGGTTGTTGATCTGTATGAACAGTATTTCAGCGCGAGGATGAGCTGGTGATGGAGGCAGAGAAGAACAGCTCGGATGCGACGACGACGACGCGGCACGGCAGTGACTGACTTGAAGAGCGAGGCTGGCAGGGCGGAGCAGCGGGAGGACCATGACAAGTTCAGAGAAACACAGATGAGAAACACACAAGATGACCTCAAGTGGCGATATGAACACAGAAGAAGAATGTATATATATGAACAGGTGGCTTCTCGGCCAAGAATGGCGGCAACCAACAACAATGATCACGAAAGCTTGCAGTTGGGTAGATATATATTCAGGAGAGGAGAGGGAGAGCAACGGAGAAGACGAAAAGAAGGTGGCGTGCAATGCTTGTTCCGGAGAAGGGAGGGTTATTCAGCGTGTTCGCTTTTCAGCCAGACTAAATCAGTCAGTCAACGTCAGTCAGTCCAAACCAACCCAGAAATCAACTAGCGAACAGACCGATTATTAGAGTAAGTGTTGTCTGTGATTCGAAGGCCATGAATCTACTGCAGGCCCGCAGCACTTGTGTCTTGTGGTATTCTAGTTCGGGAGTAAGTGTTGTGTGTGGATTATTCTAAGGCCATGAATTGGTGTGAGAGAAAACACAACTTTCCTGCAGAAATTTACGATGGTTTTGTGGTATTCTACGTTGATGAGAGGGAGAGCTTTTGACGCGGGAAATGAAACCGAGTGAGCCCTCGCTTAGTTTTCACCCTAAAACTTCACGTTCTGTCACATCGAATATTGAACACATGCATAGAATATTAAATATAGACTAAAAATAACTAATTGTATAGTTTATGACTAATTTACGGAACGGATCTTTTAAATCTAATTAGTCCATAATTTAACAAAAAGTGCTATAGTATACATGTGCTAATGATGGATTAATTAAGCTTAATAAATTCGTCTCGTGGTTTACTGATGGATTCTGTAATTTATTTTTTTATAAGTATCCGAACACCCCATACGATACCCCCATATAACATCTGATGTTATGACACTCCCAAACTTTACAGGCGGGGTCTAAACGAGCCTGAGTTTCTAGCCTATGGGAGTGTTCGGCTGCCATTAATTTTTACCGTAGCAGCTGAAAAACACTGTTTATACTAGAATTTGGTGAGAGAAAAATATTGTTCCGACCGGGAAAAAAAAAGGCCAACCAGCCAGCGGAACAAATATTTTTTCCTGCCGATTCTGGGTGCTCGTCGGTCCGTTGACCAGTCTTTGGTCAGACTAGTTATCGTACTGGAGGAGCTGGAGGGGAAACTGCTACGTCCACTCGGTAGGGAAACTGGGAAAGGCGAAGAAGGGTGCAGCCGAAAAGAAACATTGGCATCTTTTTTAGTGGGCAGGAAATTCGGCGACGACGACCGCCTTTTCTTTCTTTCCTGATAAACTCTTGTATATTGATATACTTTGGTTTGGAATTTTGGATGCACTATTGGTATAGATTATAAAAGGTGGTCTGAAGTTTATTTTATTTATCGCTACTTTAGTTTGTTGCATGTTGCTTCCATCTAGAAATTTTAGTAGGAAAAAAGGCAGCAAGTAAAGTCTAGCTAATAGCTACGTCCATGCATGATTCCAGATATGAGCGGAATAGAAATTGATCACCATATTGGCATATTCGTTGTTGGAGCTGGGGAAAACAAAATTCTCATTTGCATCAGAAAAGCCTAGCAGTCAAAGCACCAAATGAGCTCGGAGGGAAAATGACCATTTTTATGATATCAGTCTCAGTCAGCTTCACAAACAAAGGGGCAGCTTTTGGAGATGCAAGCAATGCAATCTTGTAGTTGTAGAGCTTGAAGATGGGAGATGGAGCTCTTCTAAACAAAGCCCTGCTGTACGATTAAGATCAATCCCTAGATAAAATGAACAAACTGATGCCGGCCGGCTGCCCTGTTTCGTCTGAAAGCACGCGGATAGTACGATGAAGTTTTCAGACATCACGAGATAAAAAAGCTTTTTCAGACATCAAATGTGTTGCTTTCCCATCCCAGCGAGTCGGATGCACACAGTACTTTGGTACTCCAGCTGATTCCTGAAGGCCTGAAGTAGTAGGCTTGTTCTCACTGAGACAGTGACTTGTTCGCCGAATACTCCTGGCTGTCTGTGTGTGGTGTGTGTGTTGGCATTCACTCACTCTCACGAGTCGCGACTACTTCTGGAAAATTCGGTAGGAATATTCAAACCCAGGGCCAGTGCCGATCGTGTGCTGACCGTTCAATTCAACCCTGCGATGCTACTGGTCCAGCTGATCACCCCCAAAAAGGTTCTTGCAGAAGACGAGAGAGAGACCACGATGCTACTGGTCCAGCTGAAAAGCCTTGAAGAAGACGAGGTCAACGGCGAAGGTTGGACGAACTGGCATCGAATCTTCAAACCCGTTTCCGCGTATTGGACTGGGGAGTAAGAGCAAGTGACAGTGACGCAAGTGTCACGACGTTGTGCTGACGACGCCGGGGGAGCTGAGAGCTGACCGGGGAAAAGGAGGCAAACCAGCCGCACAAGGAACAGTTTTTGTCACTGCTCTTCTCTACTGCTGTTCTGCGTCCTGATGCCGAATGAGACTCTACGCCGGGGGAGCTGAATGAGATTCTTTTGCGGAACTTGTGGAAGCCAGCGATGGGTGGTGCATCGAACAATGAACGAATGATGTCGCTCGCTAGTCGTTTCGCCTTCGACTTATTCGCATGACTTGCTTGTAAGCGTAGCGTACATACATGTACAGTACCAATGGAAGAAGTTAGTACACGACGGGCCGTCGCCTTCTTGTGATTCCATACAAACCACGGTGGAACAGTTCAATTCCCGTACGAGATTAAGGGTAAGAATTTTTTTAGATACAGACAAAAACATCAATCAATTTTCAGTGGGAATAATAATCAATTTTTTTTTAGACAATTGGGACATAACGAGATGGAGCCTCCCCTCTCCCCCAACCCCACCTCGCCGCCCACCACCTAGGCGCCGCCGGCCACCAACCTAGCCCTCTCCCCCAACCCCTCCAGCCCGCCGGCCGCCTCCCAGGCACCGCCGGCCACCAACCCCTCCTCGGCTGCTCCAGACGGTAAGGGGCCAGCCACCCTCTCCCCCCTCGCGGCACCGTTCTTCCCCTCCGGCACGCCAGGGAGATCCAAGGCCACGAGGTGGTCCATGGATTCCGACAACTCCGGCTACTCTGACATCGACGCGGAGTCCGCGCAACCATCGCGGCCCTTCTACATCGACGTCGTTTGCTAGGGCTCTCCGGCACAGGTGGCCATGGAGGCAGGGACAAGTGCACAGCCACACCCCTGTGCCGTCGATGAGCAGCCGGCGGAGACGTGGATCGAGGAGGAGCAAAGCCGCCCGCACCGTCACAAGCAGGGCAAGCGCAAGAGGAGGCCACGACAGGCGGTGACTTCGGGCAACCCGCCCCAGGACCAGCGGCGCATACCGGCCAAGCAGCGACTGGGGAACCGCGTCGTCCTCAGCGACAGGGACAGGGGCCACGTGCCCGCCGCCCAGCGTCTCGGCCGCCAGGTCAATAGCCGCGCGCCCGTCCATGACCGCCTCGGTCTCCGTGTGCCGCTAAGGGGTCGTCGCCGAATTTCGCCGCGATGCTGAGGGCTGGCGGGAGGTGCTCCCCCGGTCCACGTCGGAGAATAGTGGCTCTTCGCCTCCAGCGGGGAACGCCCACCCACGGCACCGGCCGAGGAAAATCCCAGAGGAGATGCGAGACAAGTGCCTCAACAGCCTCTCCCGCACACACCGGATCGCGACCTGCCGCCGCCCGCTGAGGTGCCTGCGCTGCTACGGCTACCACCACTACGCCAGGGACTGCAAGCAGCCAAGAACGCTTCCCAATGGCAGTGGCGGCGACGCAACCGCGCCTAACCGCTTCGTTAGGGCACGACACGCCTCCGACAGCAATGACACTACGGTCGACTCACAAGCGGGCTCCGCGACACCGAACAACGACGCGGCGAGCGACATCACACCTGCGGGTTCCCATGCTGCCGCTGCAACCCTGCCCAACACCCTGACGCTGGCCGATGCGGGGAGCCCGGTGCCTATGGACTGCGACCCCTTACCGTCCAGACACCCAGACGAGCGGCAATGGGAGAGTGCGTGCATCATCCAACGCAACACCGCCATCGACGACGCTGAGGCCGGTCTACGCTTTGCCATCACCGCAATGGCCGTGGACGCGACGCGTGCCGTCTCCACCGCCAACGCCACCTGCGCTCTGTGGAGCATCGACGACGTCGAAGAAGGCTCCTTCTCCATCACGCTGTTCTACCCCGAGCACTTCCTAATCTAGTGCAAGACGCAAGCCACATGGGATAGGATTCTGGGGGAAACTCCAGTGGCTGTGCCTGACACTTGGCTGGTGCTACGCCCCTAGACTCGTCTGTCGCACGCCGATGCCAGTACATTCAAGTTCAGGGTGGCGATCAAGCTCGAGAGCATTCCTCCACATGCCTGGGCCGAAGACACGGCGTCCAAGATCCTCGCGCCGAGCTGCTGGATCCACTCCGTCGACCAGCAGTCATCTTCCAAGGCAGACCTCTCGGCCTACAAGCTGTCGGCATGGACGTGCGACCCAAGGTTGATTCCCATGGTGGTCTGGCTCCACATCGCCGAGAACGATGTCATCCACGCCGGAACATTGGCCAACCCCACCTTCGGTAACCTGCCGCCGTACCTGCGGAAAAAGGATGTCCTCGGCTACCGTGTTCTCGTGCATATTCGATGCGTCATGGACTTCTACCCGAGAACCCTTCCCTGCCGCCGGAATTAGACGACGGGGACAACGGTCATGACGGGAACCCAAAACGACACCACTTCTCCTGGGGCACTGC